GAACAATAATATGTAAGAGATAATTTATGATCCACATTATACAGGGCATGCAGCAACTGCTATCAATATCCATCACAGAGTAATAACTTTAATTAGACAAACAGCAAGCGGCACCCTTGAATAAATGAGATTCAAATAATTGACAATAGCAGTAATAAATTTTAGCTGGAAAAATTCTATACTGAAGAGTGATATTATAAGTTCCAAGTGCGCAAGTAAGATGGCCACACATTAGAAGAAACTTCAAGGCAAGAAGACTTGATGAGTTAATAACTTCAATTTTTATAGCACTGAATTTTATGATACAAAATTTTGGCACCTGGATTTCTTTTTATTAAGAGCATGGCTTGAACTTCCATGATGCTGTACAAATTTTATACCACATAACAAAAGAAAAGAAAAAAAGAAAGCCTAAAAAAAGAAAGAAAGAACAATCTCCACTGACATAGGGATGCCTTTCAGATTTATAACAAAACTATTTGTCGAGATTAGCTAGATTTTTTAGCTCCATTAAATGTTCATCTATTGAAATGTGGAGCATTTGGCGAAGATTTGTCAGCAATGCTTCTTGTTCCCAGTTGATGGGCCCAGAAGCAAAAAATGCTGCCATTGTACTACGATAGGCATGTAACTCAAGGCTATGGATAGCTTGGTGCAATGCTTCCTTTGTTGGGAAAGATGCTTCTCTTCCTAAAGCAGCAGAAGCTTGCAAGAAATCATTATGAGATTCCATATATTGACCACTGTCATTAAAATGATGGCCCGTTGACCTATAAGGGCTTTTGTTAGCACCACAGCTACCAACAGAGGACGAGACACTCTCAGCATCAGTACGTTCTTGCATGAGTCGAAGATAATGTTCACTGTCAGCATTTTCCCTTTGAACCACTTGAATTGCTTCAAAGATTCCTCTGTCTATGTTGATTAAGGAGTTACGTCTATTTCTTTCGCCAAGCAATGTTTGTGATGGAGGAACAGCATCTACCTTTTCCAACATTGGGTTACATCCAAAGACACCGTGACGAAAACCTTCTTTCTCAACAGCCGTCTTCTTTCTTAAAGGCCCGGTACATTTTTCAACTTCCTGGAGGCAACTCCTCGACCTTTTCTTCACATTCCTAGCAACACTCTGATAAGAATCCTCTATATTTTTGTTAGCCTGCATTAGATAATCAATGTATCGTGGTACAGTGGAGATTAACTTTTCATTTGAGATCCCATTTGTTACTTTATAACATCGTTTTCCGGCATCCTGAAAGGAAATAGCACATATTTAGACCCAATTTTAAGTCAAGAATTATTAAGAGAAAAGCAGTAAATTTAAGTACATCATTCTCCAATAATTAACTTTAGTTTGTTACCAGGATGAATCATGATGTTCTTCTTAATATACAATGACTTCAAGTGTACAAAAAGAAAAACAAAGAGATAGCATGTATGCCTTCTAACCAACAAACAAAAAACTAATGGCATAATATCAGAGAAAGATTCAAAGAT